AATGACCATTTAGGTTATTAGTAATTTTTCATTATTATAAATAAAGTTGCTTTTAACATTTGTGTTCCAAAGTATGAAGAAGACACTTACTTTGTAGTGGGAGATGGCATGCAGCTGGGAGTTCACCTCTTCAGGGCTTACCTATCCTCATTTATAATCTGCTGTGACAACATTTTTATGGTTTAAATGTCAATACCATCAGTCTTTAAAGGTCTTATTTAAAAAATCAAAACCATAAAGCCCCATGACCTACAAACACTGGAGGCCTAGTCCACCTGGATCAGGAGAAGAAGCGGCTCATGCTGTGTGGGTCTCCACCTTTTGTGGGGCATTCTCATATGCTATGAGGATCCCTGTGCATTATGGGGGGTCCCCACATGCTGTGGGAAGTCCCATGTGCTGTGGGATTCCCGTGTAATATGTGCTGTGGGGGTTATTAAAACATTTTTGTTTATATATCTTTGCAGAGTTGTTAGATCATTTCCTTAGAAGAAATTTCTAGAAATTAAATTCTGGGTGAAAAGGCCTTCAGAGAGGCCATACCAATTTACATTTCCAACATCAATGTTCAAGAGGAAATCATCAGTTCTAACTAGGAATATTCTGGACTTCACAGCTTACTACAGAAATTTACAGTAAGGAAAAAGCCTCTATAAGAGAAAAACAAAAGAATAAAACAAAAAAAGAAACAGTAATTATCAAAAAAATTCTTTCAAATACATTAGGTTGAGTCTTCCTCCAATTATGGCTTTAACTGACAAATAATGAGAAACTTTTATTGCGTTACATTTCTGAATTGCAGCCACTGATAGGGCTTAGAAACAATGACACCCCAGTACCAACCAGCAAACCTAATAAGCAGGTTTTAGTTTCTAAAAATCATTTTCCAATAAAATAAATAGGGGATCCCTGGAGAAATGGCTTATTCTAGAGCTAGAGTAAGCCCAAAGAATCTTGTTCCATAGAGTAAGGACATACTCAAAAAGAAAAGGATGGGGGCAACATCAAAGGGATACAGGAGTTAACCCGAAAGCTTCCAGTACCTAAAACTGGAACAGTCTGAACAACAAAATAAACAGCACAGTACTGTGTTACAATGCAGAGTAAAAATTAAAAACAAGAGTCCATTCTGATATTAATGAATGAATGAATGAAAAGGGAGAACAGACAACAAATCTCCCATAAAGAATAATTCTGAATACTCTATATCCAGGGATGGTGCTTATTCCACTTCCAACCATGCATCCCCCTCCTGCCCATGTTAAAGTGAACTAAACTTAGTCAATCACTACCAAAGAACAGAAGAGGGAAATGGAAAAACAGTAACTTTTCAGTGGAGAAATCTGGCAAAGTTCCTTAACCAAATGATGATGGTTAATATCAATATATGGATATCACTTGCCCCTTGGTAAGATATGATGAGAAAAGCACTTCACTTCTGTGGTATTCCTTCCCAAAACCCATATAATCTGTGGTAGTTGTGTGTCTACTTGGTTGGTCCTGGTTTTGATTGGCTGGGCAGCTGGATATAGTTATTCCCCATGATGAGACTGGTAATCCGCTCCACTGTAGAATCTGTTGTAAGATGTGGTCTGCTTCCAGTCTCTAAGAAGCAGCTTTGAGAAAGGTCTCTGAGCTTTTTGGCACATCCAGATCCTGCATGTAGCCAAGTCTTCATTCAGCAGCTTGCCATGTTGCCTGCTGATCTTAACACTGTTTCTGGACTTGAACTAGAGAACTGCCATGTTGCTTAATAATCTGGGGACTGTGGCATGTTATTTGTTGACTTTGGGTTTCTCAGTCCCAGCAGCCAACAGCTGCCTGAGTTAAGAGAACCCTCCAGCTTCAGTGGGCTGGGAGCAAGAGGTAGACCTGAACCCCAAGGTAAGGGACCTATACCCAGCCACTAGAGCTTTGAACTTGGACTTCTAGCCTCCTAAATTGTGAGAGAATAAATCCCTGTGTGTCAAAGCTACCCACCTGTGGTAATTTCTGTTACAGTGGCACTAGATAACTAAAGCATAATCCAAATCTAAATCATGAGATAAACAGACAAACACAGACTGGGGTACATTCTATCAGAGACCTGACCAGTACTCCTCAAATCTATCAAAGTTAATAAACAATAAAAAACAAGGAAGGACTGAAAAATTGCCACAGATGAGGGGAGCCTGGGGAAACATGACAACTAAATGTAAAGTGGTACCCTGAATGAAATCCTGGAACAGAAAAAAGACATTAATAGAAATACTGGTGAAATCCAAATAAAGTCTGGAATTTAGTTAATAGTGATATGTGCTAACATCAGGTTCTTAACTTTGACAAGTGTACTGTGGTAATATAAGAAGTTAATTATGGGGGAAACTGGGTGATAGTACTCTCTGTACTATCTTTGGTACTTCTTTACAAATCTAAAAATTATTCCAAAATAGAAAGCTTATTTAATTTTTTTTTTAACTTTAAAATGGAGCCAGAAGCCTACTTAACTAACATAGATCTCATTTTGGAAAATGTTATGCTTCTAAATTTAACTACCATTTTCTCCATTTTATGTCTTTTAAATAAAATTAAAGAAAAAACAAAGCTGAAAGTAATAGGACAAATAATCTTATTGGAGATCTGATCATGCATTAATCTGGAACATGATATACTGTATATTAATAATCCTAGAACTATGCATCTCAAACTAGGAACATTTGATTGACATTATTAGAAACACTTTATAACATTAAAAGTCTAAAACCTAGTATCTCGGCAATTTAACCTTTTGTCAAGTTTCACTGTATAGTATGTTCTGTAGTTCACTGCATTTTACTGAGAAAGAGAGAACATATTTAATACACTTTGTTGTTGTTGTTATGTGCCGTCGAGTCAGACCTGACTCATAGAGACCCCTCCTTGGTTTCCGAGGCAGTATCACTATGGAAGTAGATTGCCCAAATACACTAGTGGTATTATAATAAAGAGGAGCTCTGGTGGCATAGTGCCTAAGGCATTTGAACGCTAAACAAAAGGCTGGTGGTTCAAACCCACCAGCCACTCCTTGGAAGAAAGATTGGGCAATCTATTTCCGTAGTGATACTGCCTCGGAAACCCAAGGAGGGGTCGCTATGAATCGAATCCTACTCGATGGCAGTGAGGTTTTATTATAACAAAGAGGCAAAGCAAAGAGTATTTGCTTCTTTTCACAATTGTCAACTGTTTGGTAAATTTATAACTTTATATCATGATACCATATAGTTAAATGATATGCATACTGAAAGGCTGTTAAAAAAAGGTCATCCAACACTTGGAAATAAAGTCAAAAGGTGGACAGCATGTCTTTTCAATGTCATATCAGGATATAGATTCATGCAAAGATTATTTAATTACTTAAGAGAATGTGCTTTGCACCATTTTTCTATTTCATTTTGAATTGTATATCCCAGAATAAGTGAAGTGACATGTTAATGCATAGATTTTTGTCCAATAGAGGTGAAATTTTTCAGGTAGAAGAGATACCTGAAAGATTATTGGTCTGTAGGATTTTAACCAGTTTGTAATTAACCTAAACAAATTCTAAAATTCCTGTATTGAACTACCTGTGCATAGAGAGTTCCTCAGATGTTTCTTGAATTGGTCTTAAATTTTACTTGTTCCTTGAGTAATTGCTGAATCAAGAAAAATCTTTGACACCTATTCATTTCAGAGTTGCATGAGAGTCATGTTTTTAATTTTTGAAAATTATCCTTTGACAAGCATAAGGAACTTTCCATGACATGCCTGACATGGTCTTTCCCACATCCAGCTTTATAAATCCTCTAATCCCACAAGGCTACCATAGTGATGGTTTTTCTGCAAAGTATTCTCATAGTACTGTGACTTATTTCATAAGTAGAATTATCAAATAACATTTTTTTGTCTCAAAGATAAACCAGAAAAGAATCCAAGTATATGTTACTTTTGAGACCATCTTCATATCATCATTGGCATTTCATCCTGCCAATAGAGTATGTACAAAAATGAATATGCAAACTATTCTATCTCCTCTGAGTTCTCCTATCTGTGCATTTTAAAAGCAATGGGAAACATATAAAGATTCCCTTCTTTTCACTGAAGCCATTTCCTGAAGAGATTTTTAAAATCCCCAGTCCCTACACGAGAAAACGCAGATATGTAAAAGAAACTCAGTACTTGTCATCACTGAATTATTCACAAAATTATAGAACACTGGATTTAGACAGGACCTTAAGATCTGTCCAGTCTTGTTTTAAAGAAAAGGGATGTTCAGCCCAAAGGAGTACAGTGACTGGTCAGAGATTTGACAGTGGTTAACGTTAATATAAGGTACTTGACTGCTAACGAGGAAGCTGGGTTCAAACCCACCAGCCACTCCTCGGAAGGAAGGTTGGGCAATCTACTTCCATAGTGATAATGCCTCAGAAACCCAAGGAGGGATCATTATGAGTCAAGTCCGACTCGATGGCACATAACAACAACAACAATGTTAATATGTGCTAACTTCTAAGAGTTTTTAATTTCTCACAATGTCCCTCATGATGACTCTATGGGTTATTTTGTTTTTATTAAATTAACTAAAAAAATTCCTCCACCCGTTTCAGGTACTTCCCCCTTTCCCTTTTTTTAAGAAATGAAATACCCAGTTCAGATGTGAATGGTGAACTGCCTTCACTTTCATAACCATGATTACTTATGCTTAAAATTTAATTATGTGTTTGTGATTTACACCCTCCTTAGTAAAAAGAAAAGTATCATACATCCTTATTTTCAGTGCTATATTTGTCACTAAAAATAAAAGTCTAGAATAATTAATGTTATAGTAATAACCTTGGATATTTTCAAATTGTTGATATAAATGTACTTTTAGATTCAAATGAACAACCATAAAGACGAATACCATTTTTAGCTTTCAGCATTGGAAAGGTAAGCTCTATTGCACTCTTACCCAAACCCAAATCAACAGTCCATTAAAACAAAAGATAAAAGAAAATATTCTGTACCCTGACATCACTTCTAGATGAAGCTGTCCTGAGACAGTTAAGAAAGCAGGAACATTGAAGAAATTCTCCTCAGGTACCTTCATTTTGCTTGAAGGCTGTAAATAAAGAAAACAAGCCATAAAAACCTATTGTATGTTTGGTTTGCTATTCACATTCACATACTTGCCACAATTAAAAATCATAATGCAATTAAACTTACCTGAGGTCAGGTCATTCTCATGTAAAATAAAGGCAATTTTCAGTCCACACTTAAAAAAGAAAATGCCTGCTTGGAAAGAACTAACATCAAGAATACCTTTTGTGACCTTCCCAATAAGTAACTCCTCCTTTCTCCCCAAAGGTAACCATTCTCCAGACTATTAAAATTTTGTGTTATTTTTCTGTTTCTTAACTTCATATAAATGTAATCATATGTATTCTCTTTTTGTCTGATTTATTTCACTCAAAGTTATAGTGAGACTAATAAATATATATAGTTGGGTGCTGTGGTTCATTCATTTTTGTTCTTGTAAACTTTAGTATAAGAAGTCTCGGTGGTATAATGGTTAAGTACTTGGCTGCTAACCAAAAGGTCAGGGATTGGAACCCCACGAGATGCTCAGCGGGAAAAAGATGAAGCTGTCTGCTTCCATAAAGATTACAGCCTTAGTACCACTGTCAACCACTCGGAGGGGGATCTATGTAGGAGATCCTGGATAGAGTAGCAGAACAATGTGGAACAAAACTCAAAATCATTTAAAAAAAAAAAAGGGGGGGGGGACCAGGTTTGCTGGTCTGATAGAGCCTGATGGAACCACTGAAACTATGGCCCCTAGCTGCCCTTCAGGTCTGGAATTGAACCTACTCCTGTGGCTTCCAGCCAAACAAAAGATAGGCATATGACCTGAACATTTATATTTGATAGATACACTCCTTGGAGAGAATAATCATGGGAGACTAGAAGGGCTGTGTACCCACAGGGAGACAGCTCAGGGGGCAGGAGTGCATAGAGAGGATACAGGGAAGAGGTTATCTATGGGGAGGAAGCACAAGAGCTGTTGCATTGTGGTAAATTGTAGTCAATGTCATGAGACAAAGTGATTGTGAGCTGCTGTATGGAAAGTGAATTTGCTCTGTAAACTTTCACCCAAATCACAATTAAAAAAAAAAAAAAAAAAAGATTATAGCCTTGGAAACCCTAGGGGGCAGTTCTACTCTGTCCTATAGTGTTGCTATGAGTTGGAATCAACTGAACAACAATGGGCTTGGTTGTTTTTAGTTTTTCAGAATATATATTTTATTGTATGATTTTATTATAATGTAGCTATTCTGCATGGATTGTTTCCAGCTTGAAACTAACATGGCTAATGCAAGCTATCCATACTCTTGTAAATGTCTGTTGATATGTATCTGCATGGAGTAGAATTGCTGAGTCCTAAGGTATGTATATCTCTTTGACATTAGTAGATGATATCAAACTATTTTCCAAAGCAGTTACACCAACGTCCATCGCCACTAGCAGTGTATACGATTTCACAATGCATGACACCAAAAAGTAATTTGCAAAGTGTGGTTCTGCTTTCCTTTCAGGAGGCTCATGAGGTCAAAACTATTTTCATAATAATAATAACAAGCTTTTATCTTTTCCACTGTATTGACCTTAGTACTGATGGTACAATGGGAATAGTGGGTATTATGGATTAAATTGTGTCTCCAAAAAATATGTGCTGTAAATCCTAATGTCTATACTGAGGAGTTATAAACCTATTTGGGAATGGGTTTCATTTGTTATGTTAATGAGGCAATATTAGTATAGGGTATGTTTTAAGTCAATCTCTTTTGAGATACAAAAGAGCACACTAAAGAAGAAGCAAACAAGCAGAGACAGAGGAAGATAGATGCCATACCACATGAAGTTCACTGAGGAGCCAAAGAACAGAAGCTGAAAAGTCAAGGATCTTGAAAGGGATCACAACAGATCATGGATAGCAACGCAACCACTGCCGTGGAGCTGGATCCAACTCATAGCGACCCCTCCTTGGGTTTCCGAGGCGGTATCATTATGGAAGCAGATTGCCCAACCTTCCTTGCAAGGAGTGGCTGGTGGGTTTGAACTGCCAACCTTCTAGTTAGCAGTCAAATGCCTTAGACGCTATGCCACCAGAGCACCTTTATGTCATACACGTTTACAATCTGCACTCTAGACATGTATAACTGAAAAATATTCTCATTAACTTCTGGGTCTTTGTACCAAGTACACTGCTCCCTTGACCCAGAATTCCTCTACCTTATTTGCATGGTTAACTTCTATTGGTCCTTCAGGATTCAGCTCAAAAATCATGTATCCGTTAAGTGTTCCTCACTACACAGCCACCACCACCCACCTCACTCCATGCTTAAGCAAGAAAAGATGACTCTCCCATGTACTTCCATAACAATCTACATAGGTACTTCACTCATTCATCCAGACCCTGTGGTAGACTGTGGAGACAGAGCAATGAGTAAGACAGAAAATATAAGCTCCCAAAGCTGATGACAAAGAAAATAAACATGTAAACCAATAAAGAAACAAGATAATCAGAAACTAGAATAAGTAAGTCAGGGATAAGGGTGTTGGAGTACTCTGAAGTAGTAATAAACAAGCAAAGACCTGAAGGATGAGAATGTATTTGCTATACTACAAAAATGAAGAGTCTGTCAGGCACCAGGAACAGCCAGCAGAGGATCAGGAGCAGGTAGGAAGAAGCTTCATATATCAGAGTAGAAGATAGGTCAGTGCAGCTTGAGGGGATAAAACATGAGAGTGTTACAAGTCCATGCTGCAGAAGCAGACAGCAGTCAGATCATAATAGGGCTTATATAGATCATGATAAGGAATTTGACTCTTTATCCAAGGGTTGAGGCATGATGTATATTAAAGCTTATTCTAGTGCCAGAGTTGAAAATAGATAATAGGGGGGACATGACTATAAGTAAGGAAACCAATTAGCAGACAAGAAGAAGTAGTGGTTTGAATTAGATTGGTGACAGTGAAGACAGAGAAATGAAGAGACTTAAGGATTTAATGTTGAAGGTAAGTCAACAGAATTAACTTATAAATTAGATATGGGGTTGCACTCCTGGAACCTTCCAAGGAAGGGAAGAATGAATTAAGTCTGACTTCCAGTTTTTTCACGTAAGCAAATGGGTAGATGGCAATAACTTTTACTGAGATGAGGAAGACTGGAAGGATAAGAGGAGAAGAAATCTAGAATTATATTTAAGACATTAAGTTTGAATATATTAGACATTATAGGAAAAATGTCAAGTAAGCAATTGATTCTACAAATCTAGTGCTTAGGAAGAGAGGCTAGGTTTGGGAGTCATAAGTTGTCTAAAGCCAAATCCATTGCCATCAAGTTGATTCTGACCCATAGTGACCCTATAGGACAGAACAGAATTGCCTCATAGGGTTTCTAAGGCTATAGATCTTTACAGAAGCAAACTGTCTCATCTTTCTCCTGTGGAGTGGCCGGTGCGTTTAAATTGCTGACCTTTTGGTTAGCAGCTGAATGCTTTACCACTGTGCCCAGAGTAGATGGTACATAAAACCTTGGAATTTGATAAGATCATCTAGGGAGAGAGTACAGATTAGTGTTTCTCATTGGTGATGATAAGGTTCCTTAGAGAGTATTTTGGAAAACTGTAGAGGCATTTAGTGGATAGGAATCAAGGACATTCCTGCATAACTCAGTACTACAATCTCCCAACTTTCTAATGTTCTGCTAGACGTTCATATTGTAAGTGATCAATGCACATTTATCAACCAAATACTGCATATTTGAGCTGTCTGACTGTGGTAGTTAAGGTTGTGTTAACTTGGCTGGACCTAGTTTTGAGTGTCAGGCCAGCTAGTTGTAGTTATTCCCCATGATGAGACTGGCAATCAACTCCATGGTGTAATCTACTGAGAGCAGCGGAGTAGCTGCTTTGGGGATGTGGTCTGCTTCCGGTACATAAGGAGCAGCTTTGGGAATGGTCTGGAGCTTTTTGTCATGCTTGGATCCTGCAACTAGCTGAGTATTTAGCAGCCTGCCATGTTGTCTGTGGATCTTAGGATGGTTCCTGGACTTGAACCAGCTGCCTGCCATGTTGTGTGATAATCTTGGGACTGTGCCATTTTACTTGTCAACCTTGGTTTGTCAGCCTCAGCAGCCAGCAGCTGCCTGAGTTAAGAGAAGCCTCCAGCTTCAGTGTGCTGAGAGCAAGAGGCAGACCTGAAGCCCAAGGCTGAGGAGCTTTCACCTAGCCCCTAGAGCTGGCATGTTGAACTCAGACTTCTAGCTTACTAAACTGTAAGAGAATAAACTGTTTGTTAAAGTCACCCATTTGTGGGTATTTCCTGCTACAGCAGCATGAAGTAACCAAAACACTGATAAACAGAGTCATGGCTTTTATCTATTTTATATACTGAGTCTCAGCATAAAACATCTTGTGAAAAAGACATCTAAGCAAAAACATTTGAACATCAATGTATGGATGGAAAGAAACCCTTCCATTCTAATAGTCAATGATTCAATTAAACTTTACCTGATTATACAGTTTACTAGTCCAACACAATGTAACCCACACTTTCTCTATCATGTACAACAGTAAAATTTTTGCTATGTTATTCCACCATTGGAAGGCAGATAATAAGAGAGCCAGCAAAGGAAAACCAAGAACTACTAGTATTTTAAAAAATGTGTGTTATCCCATTAAGTTTCATATCACAGGGGTCTAAAATCCTCCTTGTTTCTATGAGAATTTCTAAGAATATATTAAACAAATATTTTGAATTACCCTCTAATTATCTGTTCTCATAGCAGAACAAATATATCTGAATATTTTCACAATCTCTAGGGAATGAAATAAAAAAATCCACACAAGTCTGACTCTGCCTCCATGTAAAATATGCATGCAGCGATTAATTAGACAGCAGAAAGGAACATAATCAAGAATGGAAAATTTCTTTGTCCTCCATAAAGGGAATAAACTCTAACCTCCATAATCACAGAAACATCCACATCCTATTTTATCTCCTTTATACTGTTTTTCCATCTTCTCCTATCCTCACTCCACTCATAATCCCAGAGAG